AATTTGGTAGGAATTGTCCTGATTACTTGTGCTATGGCGCTCTCTCTCCCTGCTACCATTTCAATAGCGCCAAATCCTGAGGGGACAAAGAAGTGCTTGCTGTCAATGTATTTCACTGGTTTGAGGGATTCAATGATCCAGCCAGGGAGTGGTGAAATTAAATCTTGTTGCTTGGGAGGGATTAAGATTCCAGTTGAGAAGTTATTGAACACATGTGGACCAACTTCAAAGCCACCATTTTTCACTAGGTTGCCTGAGTAGAAAGAAACGAAAAAACATTTGGATTAGGCTGTCTAAAGAGAACAGATAAAACAGTTTACACCTTCAACAATTGTCAGGATCCTGTAAAATTCAGGATCTTACCTTTAGTATACTTGAGAGGTAGCATCTCCTTGATTGCAATAGCATCCAATAGAGGACCACAAGTGGGATCCTCTTGAATGCCAGGGTTATGAAATGTGACCTTGACAACTTTAGAAGTAGCCTTCCAAGCCAAGGCATAAGTGTCACCCCCGTTACTGCTGTACAAGGTTTGAAGAGGGAGATCACTTGACTGGCCAGGGACCGAGGCCCTTAGCACCTCATCTTGAGCACAGGTTCTAGTGGCTCCAAATGTGAGTGCATAGATTGAACCTGGTTTGACAGTAAGATTCTGAGAGATAGAAGCCTCATTGCCTAGCCTCACTGCATGGACCCCACGAGGAATGGCTAGGTAGAAGCTACCTGGTTGTGGCCCACCTGATACATACTCCACTGTGCCATTGATTTCCCATTTGGGGAGTGAATATTTTCCTATAATGGTTCTTTTCTTGAGGTTTGATTTTGCTGGTGCTAGTTCGAAGTTCCCATTTTCAAGAAGTCCTGCAAAATAAATATTGCCCATATCACACAACGTCAAGAATTGGTTATACATAATGCCAAATCCTCGAGTCTTTTAATTGGGAACATTAGCCTTTGCTATAAAATTACACTTTCCTAAGCAAGATCACATCAAAATATAGAATATAAACAAGTAAAGAAAGGTGAATAATTGTTTACCATCAAGAAGTGGAGGTGGATTAGCAGCATAAGCTAAACCTTGGCAGAAAGAGAGAATGAGTGCAAAGTAAAGAGAGAAAAACAAAGCCATTGTATTTTGCTTGTCAAGAAGCAACGTACTAGATGTGGCTCTCTAAATAGGGAGAGAAAAGTTCTCTGGTGGGTCAAAAAAAAAAATAAACAAAAAAATGCAAAAATCTATTCTATATTCAGAATACAAATCCAATAAGGGTTGGATACAATGAAGGAGAAAGAAACTAACAGCCCATGTTCAAGCAGCACCAAATTAGCCGTGAGTTGTGTTTGTCTGTCCTTAATTTGTTTTATGTTTACACTTGCTAGTGATTAAATATTAAAACAAGGAGGTACCAATTCGTACACGGTTGACTTGAATTGATGGTGATTGTGCTAACTGACAATATCTGTCTTCAACGTTAGATTATCTAGATGGGCATATAGTAAAAAATTCCGGCTTGATTACCGGACCGAACAAAGGAGCTTGTGTGAAATCAATGCAACTTCGCATGTTTTAGCTTTCTATCTGGAATGGTCGGTGCTTGAAAGGAAAAAAAAATGCATGGTATAGTTTTTTTTCTTTTGTTTTTGTATGGTAATTATTTTTTAATAATAATAGATTTAAACTGATTTAATTTATAAAATAGTTCAATATCGATAAAAAAAAAAAAAACTAAACGTATTTTGACATTATCTTAATCTAAAATGTGATAGATTTAATCTTAAAAAATACTCTATTACTTGTAAATATATAATTTTTTTTTTTTACAAATGATTTTAGTTTATTTAAGATTTGAATTCATAATATAAAAGGGAAAAAAAACCTTTTTAATCATTAGACTTGCTATTAGAAATTACTCGCTATTATTTATTTCTATTATTATTCTAAATTACGAAATTTTAAGAAGTGTGATACTTGTAATAATTGTTTAAATTTAATTTTTTGACTTGTCATATATTTTCAGATTAATTTTAATTTATCAGAATAAACTATCTATACTTTGCATCTATAAAAGTTTCTTTCTTAAGTATCCCTTTGGATTCAAGGCCAAAATAATAGCAGACAACAAAACCACTTACAAACGGAACAAAGCCTATTAAATGTTTAATTATCTAGTCTTTTGAGATATTATTAACGAAAATAACTAAAACAAATCTGTTTTATTCTATATTGCATAATACGTGTTAAATTAATTAATGTAAATTAAATATTTATTTAAGATATGAAACATATTATATAGACTTGTGAAGGGCAATTCATGAATACTATGATCGTATGGCGAAGTTAGAGAGAACTTCCTGTAAATATACTTAGCTCGCGTGTGTGTGTATATATATAGGACAAAAGAGACTTGAATTGGGCTGGATGCAGAATCAAACTAGGATTAGCCCACCGGTATTCAAAAGGACTCTTCCTGAATCCATGGAAACTAATCTAGCTCATTATAGAGAAAGAAAAAAAAAAAAAACTCTTGGACCAGCTCATTAATTAAAAAACCATTCTGGGTCTCGTGAATCTTGTACTCTGCCAACCCATGAGCTGTTTAAGACAATAGTAGGCCCAGTAAAGTTGAACTTGACTTAACTAAAGGCTTTTATACTGAGGCTTAGCCCTAAGACAATAGAAGAGCCTTGTTGTTCCTCATCGCTCATGTTTTCAATCACCTAAAACAATCTGGAACACTTGAAAGAAAAGAAAAGGAAAAAAAAAAAAAAAAAAAAGACGCTAGTCAATTGAGTAGATTGAAAGATGGATTTATAGGTAGAAATACCTTATAGCGAATAAAGTACTTTGATGGCATATTGAAATGGGAAAGAGAAGTTTCAACTGTTGATAAGTGTGTAAAGTATACTGTCATATGTACTAATTTTTTTTATTTTTTATTTTTTGGCATCATCACCTACGTACTTTGCCTGCCACCCATCACCAAATGGGCGGCACCACCCTTTCTCTTCCAAGATTTTGATAGCATGCTGCCATGTCCATCACTTGCTTCCTTCCTTCATTAACCATTCTTTTCTTTGTTTTCTTTTTTCTGTATCATTTCCTTTTTACTCCCAAGTATAAACTGAAAAGAAAACGATGTTTTGCCCTTTTCCTTTGTTGAAGTCAAAAGCTATGTTAGCTCTTACATTATAAATAACTTAAATCTCTCGTGCTGAACGCAACTATTCCAATGCAACATGCACAAAAATCAAAGGAAGAAAAAAATTCCAACTGCTAACCCTTATCTAATTTTTGTTTTAGTTGCACTCAAATGAATGTTAGTCAAAATTCAAATTAAATTTTAAATTGGCGATCCAATAAAATATTTTCGTAAATAATTAAAGATCTGTAGAATTGCATGCATTTTCTGCTATGAGGAATTTGTCACATTGACGACAATATTATGTAAGCAGTAATGACGACGATTCAGTGGAGATGGGCTGAGCAGTCGCTTTCAGTCTTCTAATTTGACACTGACCAAGCCGTCCTCTACCGTTGTTATTGTTTATCCTTTTCAAAATTATCTGGGCCACTCTAAAACTGACATGTGGGAACCAATTACATGCCCTTAAGTAGAAAAATCATAATCCTCTGCTGAAAGCGATTAAAATTTAAGGCGCCCAGCGTTATACTTCTTTGTTTAGCAAGTCATTATAATTAGCTCATTGGGAAGCTAGTTTATCGTTCATGCTTTGTTTTAGCCCGTTAATCTATTTTATGCCTTATGTAAGACATGTTGGTTTTTTTCATTAATTGTCTTTGTACTTACTCGAGGCAATTAACTTATCCTATATTAATAATCATAATTTAAAAACGAAAATAAGGGAACAAATCAATCTAAATATTAAAAAAATACAAGAAATGGCGTTTTTTTTTTTTTTATCAAATTAACCTAAGATCCTATTTAACCTAAAATCATCTCTTTTGATTATGCAAAAGTTTTACTAAGTTAAGAGCTCATCAGCTGACCATTCTCTCCTCACATTCATCTATTTTAGGAATTTTCCAAGCTGCATTTGGACTATTTAGGTGCTTCGTTTGCAAGTGCATATTTGCTGGTTAATGTCATTTTAACCTTCATAATACTTACGCTCCTTAATTTTCCTTTTTGGCAGGTTGGGTTTCCTTGTGGATTTTCTCTCCCATGCTGCAACCGTTGGGTTTGTGGCAGGGGCAGCCATTGTCATCGGTCTTCAACAAATGAAAGGACTACTTGGGATTAATCATTTCTCAAATAAGACTAATGTTATCTCTGTAACGGAAGCTATTTGGAGAGCCGTTCATCATTTTGTATGTTATTTCCCCAAAATTTTCTTCGCACTCAAAGCCTATTAAATGCACATAATTATATATGTTGCCATAGAAATGCAAATTTATCCTTTAGTTTTCCTATCTTGATCACAGGGGAATCCGCATGATTTTATACTCGGATACTCGTTCTTAAGTTTTATTCTAATAACCAGATTTGTGGTAAGTCCTAATACCAATAACTTATAGCTGATTAGTTATATGAGAAATTTCTTTCTGCTGTTATTTAGTCATTAAGAATGACAGGTTCATGATTTTCTCAGGGTAAAAGGAACAGGAAACTCTTCTGGCTGCCAGAAATTGCTCCTTTGATATCTGTTGTTTTATCAACTCTTCTAGTTTACGTGACCAGAGCTGATAAACATGGGGTGATGATTATAAAACACATTAAAAAGGGCTTAAACCCAAGCTCAGTCCATCAGTTACAGTTCAATAGCCCACGCATAGGAAAATTAAGTGGCTAAAATTGTACTCGTAGTCGCTGTTATATATTGCGCTCATCGGAGGTGTCAAACAATTCAACTCCATTCTTCACGAGAAGCACTAAATCAACATGACTCGCTTTGATTCTACTTTCTTGTTATGCCAAAATGCAGGAAGCAATTGCAGTAGCTAGGCCGATCTTTTGCATCCATAAAAGGATACCACATCAATGGAAACCAAGAAGTGGTTGCCGTGAGATTTATGAACATTTTGGGAACTTTCACTTCTTGCTATGCTGCAACTGGCGAGAACTCTTCCAAAACTTTATTAATTTCTCAGAATCCATTTATTCTTTTTTTATATATTTTCTTGCACGTATTAAGTATCAAACTACAGATATAGGTTCATTCTCGCGTAATGCTGTAAATTTCAGTGCTGATTGTGAAACTGCTATGTCAAATATTGTGATGGCCATTGCAGTACTGATCTGATGTCTGGAATTGTTCACAGGGCTTTTGTATTTCACTCCCATTGCAATGCTTGCTGCAATTATTCTTTCTTCTTTACCTGGACTCATTGACTTTCATGAAGTATATATTTGAAAGGTTGATAAGGTGGATTTTTTTGCTTGCATTGGAGCCTTCTTTGGATCTTGTTTGCTTATGCGGAGATTGGCTTACTAGCTTTTTGTATAATTTGAATTTCATGCAAATTATTTAAATATTATGATAAATGACATATTTTTAACTTTTTATAGTGTTTTATATTGTTATATTTATTCCATACGAAATTTATTGTCCAGTCCTAACAAGGAACAACATATTCTATGAAAATTGAAAAGTGATACTTGTAATTAAAAAAAGAAATTTGTAAAAGTGGATTAGAGACGGAAAATCATGGATGTAAATTTTCGTCGGTGATTTGCAGTCTTATTAGCGACGGGAATACATCCCTATAGCAGCAAAATATTCATCATTAATTTTATCATATTAACGACATACATGTTTTATTATAACGATAATTTGTGCGTTGTTAATTTGACGATGGATTATAACTTTCATCGTTAAAATTATTAACGATAAATATTTTATTAATGGATTGGTTTTGTCATTATTCTGTCACTGAAAGAAAAGAACAACAATCCATTACTAAAGGCTTAATTTTTTTGTAGTATATAATTGTGCTAAAAGCTGTGGTGAGAAAATCTCTTTAGTATTAGAGCTCTCGAGTTTGTCTCATAATTCTTGGTGCAACCTAAAGTTAATACTAGATTTGAAAATTTTAATATTTAATAGAGAAAAGATGGCAATTATGTAAACCCTACCGTTATCATTATATGTCAGGGTTTTTTTTTTTTTTTTTTTATCATATCATCACCATCATGTAATAGACCTGTTACAGTAATAGATTGAGAAATTGTAACTTATAGATTGCTAGTGTACTCTTCTTCTATAATGTGTATTTGATTTATATTTAATTTTTTGCTATCAATGAAATTAGTTCTCGTGGTTATTAAAATAAGATTTGTATTTTATTTGTATATATTATTTTTATCAATGAAATTAGTTCTTGTGGTTATTATTAAAAAAAAAAAAAAAAGTTACGAGCTCAATGATTAAAAAGTGGTGTTATGAAGTTAGAGTAAAATGGTTTTTTTTTTTTAATAAATAGGATTAACCTAAGATCGACCTCCGACGTAGAAAGGGAAAGGGCGTTAGCCAGTTGGTCTGAAGGATCATCACAACAAAAACACACTGGCACAAGTCATATGGTTGGTTTGTTCACTACACAAACTAACAAAATCCAACAGCAAAAAGAGCTGTTACAGGTAGTGTGCTTGACAGAAATTCGGCCTTATAATTGCAAAGGCTTGGATGGATATATGGGCTAACATAGTCTGAATCAGAAGTGAAAATTGAGCTTTTCTCGAAAAGCACCATGGAAATGCTCGATCCAGTAACAAATTAAAGGATTGCCCTGTGGAAAATGTTCGGTTGTAGAATAAAATAATAACAGATATTTAATCATTTGGGTTTGATTTTTTTTATCTGTTGTCACCAAAAAAATAATTATAACAAAAATAATAATAATTAAACTCCTTCAAGTTTGGATTATCGGCAAAATAGAGGTAGGTTGGGGCATATACTAATCCACAAAAAAGGTTACATGGCAAGACTATAAAGGGAGTGTAGTGCATGTGACTCCACCCGAAAATTTGCTGCGCAAAGTGCTCATCAGCGAACAAAGACAGACCATATCGGATTATGGATATTTTAAGTAATTAATTTTCAAAACAAAAAGGGACTAATTGATTTATTTTACCAAATGTTGAAATGAAAAGGGAGAGGAATAATTATATTTAGATTTTTCTACATAAAACTGCCAAGCTACGGATCACAACAGAAAATAGTCATATATAGGCAAAGAGAGCTCATTATCAAGTACAAACCAACAAGGGAATTAAGTATGTGTACTTTCAAGAGCAAGCATTTAGAAATACAGTAGTCCAAAGAGCATTTCATTTGGTGCAATAAATGTTCTTTCTCCGTCTTTTCTTTTTTTCCCCATTTTTTCTTCCCTTTTGTTAACGACAGAAGTCATTTCTTGATGTGTAATTCATGCTATAATTGCTTTATTAAGAGTAGTTGTTAAAGCGTCCAAATCAATTGAGATTACTGGTATTCTCTGACGTTTAAAACTCTCTAAAATTCACTCTTTTTTTATACATATAAAACGGCAAGTAGAACCAAAAGTCTAAAACCCCATCTAAGTCTTTTTTCCAAAAACGAATTAGCATCAACGCTGCACATACGTAACACATGAAATTTATATGAACTCAATAAAAAATTGTTGACGGAGGAATTTATGAATCTTTAGAAATCCAATTAGAGAGAGAGAGAGACTTGATTGACAATTGCTGTATGGTTGGGAGACTAATGTCATGTTCTGTTTTCCAAACCAGGATCTGGTACTGTTTAATTAAAGAACATAGAAATGAAAGATTGGACTCGTGTGCTTTAATTGGTAAAGTAGATGAAACACAGCTATCTAACAAGCATACCTAAGCCTGTTTTCTGTCACAGGACAAAATCTAACAAGCATACTTAACCATGTTTAAGATTGTACACTGACTATAATTGAACAAAAATGTTAAAAGCTTGTATGTATGCATCTATTTTTTTTATCATATATTAGTTTCTTCCATCAATTTTTTCTGTCTCAATATCCTATCTTTATTCCATAATCGTCTTGGCTATGTTTTTTTTTATCTGGTTATGTCTTAGTACTCACATCTTGGTTATGTTTTTTTTTTATTAATGCTCATGGTTTTCAATCCTCCAATTAGTAACTCTCACCATTCGATGACACGTATCAAATATATATATATATATATATATATACACACACACAAATAAACTAATTAATTATTTTTTCTTCTTTCTTTTTCTTTTTCTCTGTGTTCCTGCTCTTCCTTACCACTCCATCACCAAATCACCATGCCAGCCATTACTCCCTAACCCATAAACCACCAGTAGAAAACCACCACTCCTAACTCATTAACGATCAACCCCAACATCAACAAAATTGAACACAATATATAAGAAATTAAATTACTCTTTTTTATGCATTATTTCTACCTTCTGCACACATCTTTTTTCTTTGTCTCTTCTCAAACATCAAAACAAACTTTTATTTTTCTCTTCAAATCTCTACTTATCATTTTATTAGTATTCACTTCTTTTCGTTCTTCTCAAGCACTAAAATATATATCCATAGATGTGTACATACATATATATGTGTGTGTGTGTTAAGAAGGATATTTTAGGTATCATATATTAATTTGATAGATATGAAAAAAAAATTAATGATAAAGATTAAATAATTAATTTTTGAAACAAAAGGGACTAATTAATTTATTTTTCAAAACAAAAAGGACTAATTTATAATTTACTCCTAAAAATCTATATATATATATATATATATATATATATATTTTTTTTTTTTTTTTTTTTTTAATTTCATTTTAGGTTTTTTATGTTATTTGACTTTGATGCGTAGATATATGATGCTATTTTACAATAGACTCAAACTTTGTCATGGATCTTTGATTTCTTTTATTTTTCTAACTGGAAAAGGAGAGTATAACATAGCACATGGACATGAATATCAAAGAACGAAGATGAGAATCAAACTCTTTAAAAAAAAAATCAAAAAGTAAAAAAAAAAAAAAACAAATTTTTTGGTGTTAAAATCAAAAAACCAACTTATAGTTTAATTCGAATTCAATTTTAATATTACCATATTGGATTACCTAAAAACAAAACTTGAATAATCATATGTTTATTTTATCGAAAACAATGACTTTCGATCGCATTAGAATCCAATCAAGATGATTTTAAAAAAATAAATAAAGTATATTAAAATAAGTAAAAGTAAATGAAAGAAATTAGTGTAAAATGAAGAATTGAGGAATCCATAAAAGATTTTAACTAAAGAAAAATATTGAAAAACGATTGTATAACAAGGCCTTTCCATTCAGGATAATGAACAAAGCAGATCTATTACATCATGTGACAATGACCATGGTTTTTTTTTAATAAGGTTGTCCTTTTAGCTTTCCCTTGCACGAGCTGGCTTCTTATTTTTGCAGCGTTATGATCCAATAATTCTCTCTTTTTCAAAAAAAAAAAAAAGGTCTACCGTTACACATAATTAGTATAAATCTGTCAACAAAATCAATCGATCGAAGTTGAAATAGATGCCTTGTATATTATTTCCTTTCCCTTTTTTTTTTTTTTTTACAAACCATTAAGTGTTTTTTTTTAATAGAATTGCGTAATTTTCATTAGTATATATAAAACGAAAAGTGACCGGTGGCAGAATTAATGGAATTGATTAATCTTTTATCTTTTTGCATGACATATCCTTTGAATGTCCTACTGCTAGTGCCCCACCATAACACCAATCTCACTCTCATGATCCTTGACCATGATGTATGCCATACATGTTCTAAGCCAACAAAGCTTCGAGGGAGGTTGGACCCACTAACACTCTTTTGTATAAACCTTCGCATGATTCAATGCACAAGCGAATGATATCTAATTACTTGTATGGAGATAAATTTTTGCCCATTAATTCTAACCTTCACTCTTAATTTAAAACTTCTCTTGATCAATGTGATTTCAGGTTGCTTGTTTGGTTGAACCATTAATCCTGTTTCCTTTTTGCTTGAATAAGAAGAATCACAAACAAAATAAATAAAATTGAGGCAAGAATACGTTTTGGAGTTATCATTTAAATCGCTTTCATAAGGGACCATTTGGCATATACAAAGAAAACGCCAGAATGCCATTTTCTCCATCCCAGAAAACGTTTACTCCTTGAGAGCTAAAAAATAAAAATACTGGCAAGTATCATTTAAACAGGTAGAGACAAGAGATTTTTCACCAGGACCATTTGGATTGTTTTAAAAATGCATTTTGTACTGCAAAAAAAAAGTACGTGATCAATTGTTCTAACTCGCAATGTTGGGTCAATTTTATACATCTATTATCTTGACAAACTCCCTTTATCCTTAGCACCAGAAATCTTCAATTGTTCGACCTTCTAGTGTTGGGTCACTTTACTTGAACTGCCAACCCAAACCCACTTGTTATTTGTTCCTTTTATGATTAGGTTTCTATTTTAGGATCAAACGATTAATCATTGCTTGGAACCTACTGTACAGTTTATCAACGACCCCTAAAACCTCAATAGTCATTTTCCATTACATTTTATGGTTCTTTTGGCCCTGCAAATTCTCTTCCATGCCATCAGATTAACTGACTATGGTAGAAAATTTATAAACTGTGCTAGAAATTAATGTTAAATTAAACGTGCTAAAACTTACTCACCCACTACTTAAAAACAACAAAGACAAACATGTTTCAAGGTTCCGTAGGAAAAACAAGTGAAATAAATTTAACATTAAAACAAATTGTGGTTTAGGTGCTGTTCAAGTATAATAAATTTAACATTAAAAATTAATCAATTTCCAGATTGAAAGAAGTGAGGATTTAGATCATGAACTGAAAGTCATGAGCTCCTTTTAATGTGCTTGAAAGAAAAAGGAACATGCTTATTTGGGCACACCCAGCTGCCAGATTAGTTTCACACTTTTAGTACAAACAAAATTGGCCCCCTTAAAAAGGCCAACGGAATGAATTATCTTCAATAATTTCTTTAACATCTCTTCATCGTTCTTAAAAGAGGAAAACAGAAAAATTGTGGTTTAGGTGCATGTGGACCAATTTATGTGCACAGATAGTATTCAAATTAATTCTTTATCTTATTTACTCCGGTCTCCAACTCTCAAAAGTTTAGGCTACAGTCTTCTTAACTACAATACTAATATTACCTCGAAAGTTTGGGGGAGTTGAGTTGATGCCCACCTATCTTCTTCCACGATTAGTTCAAGATCATGGAGACCATAAATATTGTTAATCAGAACTGAATACAAAGACTGTGGAAAACATCTTGTAATGTGTTTAATCAATAAGTCATACACCTACTTTTGCCATTAACTATAGTAATCTTTAAAGTCTTGCCAAAATTCATGGTGTTTTTTGTTTTGGTCATGGAATGATAGGTAGAGATATTACACTCGGAGTTAAAACTCTATCAGCTAGTTTATTCAGTTCTTTTGGCAGGGGCCGATTGGTCTGGTGCATTTAGGGATGCACTACAAAAATTTCAAAAAATAGCAACTTATTTTCCCTTTGCTAGTTGCTATTTGGCAAAACTATATCGTTATATGGAATTAGCAACAGTATTACGGACAATATTCAATCTGTCGCTAAAATGGTGATAGCTATTTTTTAAGCGACCGAATTTTTTTCCATCGCTAAATGG